TTTTTTTTTTTTTTTTCTTCCCGGAGTGTACAGGTGGCATTCTGAGCACCGGGGAAGCTCTTGAAACAGGCAGTTGACACAGACCAGATGGACAGAATCAGATCCTAGAAAGGGGAAAGGACGGAGCTTCCTGGCGATCTTCATCAAGCTTTGATTATTTAGTGTACCTTTTAGCTGTGAAAGTGTCCCCTTACGTCTACAGATGAGCAGCCTTATCCCTGCAGGCAGAGCCATGTCTGGCGCACTGGCCATTTCTTTCCCTTGTGCACTTAACGGGTTTGTGGTTTTTGCCTGACTTAAAAGTAGTGAGGTTACATTTTTTATTTTTATGGGGGTGGTATTGAGTAACGAAACTCTGAAGTTTGGGTTTATTGGAAGGCTTGTACGCGTTTGTGTGAGTTAGAAACACAAATGCGTGTGTTCTGATCCGGCATGGGCGAGCTCGACCTTCCCTTGTTCCCCTTGAGGGGTGCCGTCTGTAGTGTGGTCTGGTAGCGGGGTTTCCATTGCACCACTCTCCTGTGAGCTGGTATTTGAGAACCAGCTTGGGGGGGGGGGGCGGGGAAAGTGTCCATTTGAAAAAATAGTTTTTGCTAAGGTCATGATATTGTGTTTAAAGACCTTTTAAAAATCGTATCCTTCATAAACACAATTCATATCAGAAGCTCTCAAGAACCACGTAAGCTCTCAAGAACCACGTAGGCCTTCCCTGTCCATTTTTCAATGGTTTTAGTGACCCGATTGCATTTCCCCAAGTAGCAACTCCCTGAGAAGATGGCTCCTTTGAGCCACGGGGACCGTGAGAGCTCTGCACACTCACTCTTCAGTCCGGAGAACCCTGATTTTGCAAGTGCATTTCATAACCAAATCTAGATAAAATGTCTCTAACCAACCTGGTGCCAACTATCAAACGATCAACTTTCCTACAGAAAAAAAAAAGCTCAAAATCTCTATATGTAATCTTTTCTTCTTTTTCTCCCTGAATTTTGTTTAAATCAAAGAAGCAGGATCTTGGAACCTGAAAGGCCCTTCAGGCAGACACACAGTCTGGCTGCACCTAAGTCACTGGTGGGAAAGATGGCCTGCTGGGGCTTCTGAACTGGCCTGGGGCACAGCCCCGGGGGGAACCCCAGACTCTGACCTCAAAGCTAGTGCCACATACTACGAGCTTCCGAGGCCTGGTGTTCTTCTGGCACAAATGGAGGAGAAAGGCACTGCCTGCATCACAAACACCCAAAGTGGCCCAGGGCTGCGTCTTGTCAGGCAGTGTGGGCTCCTGCTGTCAGTTTTTCAGGGCCAGGGCCCACCTTGGTGGTGGCAGCGGACGTCAAAAGACCCCTCCACGCCCTTTTGTGGGTGACTCAGAGGGCAGTGGCCCTCATGCTCTCCAAAACCAAAGTCAGGAGCGTCTTCTGCCCGGGCAGGCTTGGCGCGGGAGGACGTGGGCAGAGTAGAGGGTGCAGAGCCCAAGTGACGGCTTCCTGTGGATAGTAATCTGGCCAGGCTGGGGTGCCGCTTTAACATTTATCCACACGATATTCAAACAAAGCTGCCAATAATAAAAGTGCTGGAGTCCAGGCTTTTAAAATGAAAATGATCTCATTTGAAGGGCGTGGGGGAATATTGTCAAAGTCACTGATCAGTAACACGACAGACCCATTTTTTCAAACCCTGTCTTCAGAAAACGAAAGCAAAACTCAAGTGACAGGTGTTAACCAGAAAATCTAGGTTGCTGGAGTGGGACCTAGAAAGCCTGCGTGTCCCCCAGTAGTTATGATAAGAGACACTAACTCTGGGCCAGGTCCTCCACGCTTAGTACTGTGTTACCCTCTGGACCGCGTGAGGCTGGCCACAGTGCCTCTATCTTCAGGTGTGGAGAGGGCGGTCTTGCATGGAGTGAGGTAGGCTGAAGTTCTGAGTCCACATCTTGGTACCAAAGGCTGGGCTCCTCGCCTCCTGGCTGTCCTGCAGCCTCCCCTTGAGGCCCGCAGAGGTCAGAGCACAGGGTCAGCTGTCCCGTTCGTTCTGACTGGCCGGCTCATCCAGAGCTACATCTCTGGCATCGGGCTCCTTGCCCCTGGCGGCCAGGAGGCCAGGCGCTTAGAGAAAATGCTGAGCGTGCCCTCTGCAGGAGCTAGG